ATCGAAGTGCATCTTTGGTGCAGAAGAGATTCCCTTTCTAGGATGCTTCATTGGGAAGCGAGGCCTTCGAGCGGATCCCGCTAAGGTAAAAGCCATAGTCGATTGGCCAGTCCCCAAGAACCAGAAGGACTTGCGTAAGTGGCTTGGACTTGCCAATTACTTACATAAGTACAGTGCGAATTACGCAGATATGGCTCGGACATTGTCCAATCTCCTTAAAAAGGATGTGAATTGGTGTTGGAGTAACACCGAACATGATGCATTTGAAGCCGTTAAGGAACGTCTCCTTCATGCGCCAATATTGGCTTTGCCCGATTCTGGTCGGCCTTTCAGTGTCGTCTGTGACGCATCTGACTTTGCCATAGGCAGTGCTCTGTTACAAACAGATGTCGATGGACGCGAACGCGTCATCGCATTCGAGTCTCGACAGCTGAAAGCTGCCGAAAAGAACTTTCCAGTTCATGACAAAAGAGCTACTTGCTATGAAGTACGCTCTAGTCAAATTCAGAGTACATCGGCTTGGCTCAAAGCCGTTTGTGGTCTATACAGATCATGCGTCATTAATCACTGCGACACAGTCGCCTCATCTCTCACAGAGAATGGCTCGTTGGCTTTCCTTCTTTGCCGAATATAACTTCGAGGTGAAGTACAAGCCAGGTAAGCAAAATGCTTTGGCTGATGCGCTATCGCGTCGACCTGACTATGAGCTTGCTCATGTTACGACTCTGTCGTCGTCGGTCACTGACTTAATCCGTGCGGCATATGCCAAGTATGAACAGTGTGTAGCTTTGCTACGGGCTCTTGGGAGAGATGAGTTTAAAGACTCGGACATAGAATTGTCGGCACGTTTACGTGCGAGGCTACATCGATATTCCATCGATAATGGCCTGTTGTGCTATCGCACGGATATTGAGGACAACCCTCGTATCGTTGTACCTCATGATGAGGAATTAAAGTATCGGATCCTCTATGAGGCACATGATACTGCTTTAAGTGGTCATCTCGGTCGTGAGAAGACTTATAGCTCGGTGAGCCAAAGTTATTGGTGGCCCAAACTTTATAAGTGGGTGTGCACCTTTGTGCGTACGTGCGAAACGTGTCAACGGGTAAAACCCTCGGCACATGCGGCGGCGCCGCTGGCTAGTTTGCCAGTACCCACTGGTTGTTGGAAGTCCATGAGCATGGATTTTGTGTTTGGCCTACCGAAAGATTCGGAAGGCAACACTGGTATTGTGGTCTTTGTTGACCGATTGAGCGAGATGGCTCACTTAGCGGCTGTGCCGGATAGCATCGATGCTGAAGGTATAGAAAAGCTGTTTATCGACCGTTTGTTTCGCCAACATGGCTAGCCTGTCGCAATTATCTTTGATAGAGACCCCCGCTTCACTGGGAAGTTTTGGAAGTCTATCTTCAAGGTGCTTGGCACTCGGTTGGACATGTCCACAGCGGATCATCCGCAGACCGACGGTCAAACTGAGTGTGTAAACCGCGTCATCAACGACATTTTGCGCAGTATTTGCGCTGATACACCTAGGCGTTGGAGCTCAATGCTCCCTATTGTTGAGTTTGCGTTGAATAACGCTGTTCATGCCTTAACAGGCTTTACTCCGTTCTATATAAACGGTCTCACCCACCCTCGCGTTCCGTTAACGCTATCACTTCGTGAATCAGGGCTTGGTGGGGGAGAGGTTGCCGATCGGCTTGCTGATATCAGCCCTGCTACTGTTCAAAAACAGGTAAGCGAGTTTCTCGCAACGCGATTAAATGTCTTAAGACATGTGCGTGACGCAATGGCTGATAGCCAAGATACCCAAAAACAACAAGCTGATGCCAAAGGCAGAAATTGTATTGAACGTTATGAGGTTGGAGACCAAGTACTACTCAATGCTAAAAATCTACCTACAAATGTAGTGTCTGCTGTCTTTAAGACAAAGTTGCGTCCACGCTTTATTGGACCGTTAACGGTCACGGCCAAGAAGGGACTTGCGTATACGCTAAACCTCCCGCGCAAATTGCGCACATATCCAGTGTTCTACGTAGGCTTACTTAAGCCGTACCGGGATCCTTCCCATGTGAACTTGGAGGCGCTTGCGCCGACAACAAGGGCACTACCCCGGATTGCTGTAGACGAATCAGCAAGTACAACTGAGCCTCGCTCCGAGTTTGAGCTTGCTCCATCGCCTGAAGGCGGCTTTGCATCGCATCCAGCATGCACTGGGACTTACCCAAGGCCTCGTGAAGACCCTTCACTTCGAGAACCAATTTCTCGTGGGCCTCCACCGGTACACCGGCCGCCACCGACTTTGCTCGATGAGCATGGGTGTCGTCAATTTCATGTCGAGAGACTACTGAAACGACGTCGTCGTCAGGGACAATACCAGTATCTGGTAAAGTGGCGTGGGTACCCTGAGTCTGAAAACTCATGGGAATTTGAGGTACCCCTTCGGCAAGACTGCCCATATGCTTTGGAGGCTTTTGAGCATCGTGGCCATGGTCGTCTCGAGGCCGAGGCCGTTCCCCACCACTAGTGGTGCGGGTTGGCGGGTTGTTGGCCACAGACTGACCAGCACTCGCGGCTACCTTAGTAGCCGAAGCATAGCGCGTGCGCTTGCGCAATTGGTCTCTGGCCTTAAGCTTGGCATAATCATACCGAAGCTTGCGTTCAAGACGCACGTCAGCCACACTGGCACTAGCCCTTAGAGCAAAAATGTTGCTGAGGCGACGCACATAGTGCACCCAGTGAACAAAGGCATCGTCTTCTTCGCTCACTGTTTCGCCTGCGAACAAGAGAATGGGTATACCCTTGATCGGTGGAACCGGTGTAACACGCGCTTGCATGTCAAGGCGTGCCTTGTATTGACTTTGAGTCGTTAGGTGCGGCTCCAGGTACCTCTCGCGAAGTGCCTGGCAGCTCACAACCTCCTCAGGAGTCTTATGCCCATGGCCAATGACCCACGTTGCCAATGTTTGGCCGGCCGCTTGACGCAGACGTTCCTCCACACTGGGTGGGGTGAACACGTAGTCACGCTGGCGTTCAAGGGTTGTAGCCATTTGTACATGACGCTGAGCGTTTTCTTCTCTTTGAACAAGCAGTTGTTGTTGCTCATCGAGCGGGTTCGTGATGATAGTCTCATCAGACCCAGACGCTGCATACTGCGCTGGTGGCGCGCTCGCCCCTCCACGTTCAGCGAACGGATTTGGGGTGTTCGAAAGTTGTGCCTTAGGCATCAGTGAGCCGGACATTGTCCCTGTATCACCGCGGACACTGGTATCGCTACCATAGTCCACCTCCTCCTCTATCCCGAGGTAGTCACACAGAGCCTTTGACTCGTTTGGTGATGAGGACATCGTGTTGGAGCGTACGTTACCGTGAGGTTCACCGTACGCGCACTGTTCTCGCTGAGAACACAAATTCTATTGACGTTTTGGCAAACGTCAGTATGGTGGGGGAGGGTGTAACGGGGTTGCACGAAATTATGGTACGTTGTACCAGGGGTGTTACACACCTGAGGTTACCCCTTTGTGAAGGTGATATAGAATATCTTATTGGTTTGTAGTGGCTGACGAGTGTCAGCCATTAGGTACGAAAGATCTTTGAGTAGGATTAAGATATTCTATAGGCTTTAACAAAATAAAATCAGTTCCCATTTTGATCTGAAGGACACGTGGCTTGCGAGCCGTCTTGATCGTTGACCACTAATCACTAAGAGCTAGCGACACCTCCTTGAGGTAGCTACTATTGAGCACTGAGTGCTGTCGATTCACTGAATCGTTAGGTCCCCCTGGAACAGGGATCTGAAGCTGTAAAGCTTGTTGACTCGTAAAGTCGTTAGTTCTTTGGAACTAAGTTGCTCGTAGAGCGTTAAGTCTTCCTCTGACTTAAGGAGCTGTGTAGCTCCGCTACACACCGCCTTATTCTGTCATTAGAATAAGTAGCTTGTACTGTCACCAGTACAAGCTTCAGGGTGCCCCGTTACAGGTGTCGTGCACACCTGCTTCATTGACTTGTTCACTGGCAAGATCACGTGCTCCGAAAATACCGCGTCGCCTCGCAAAAGCGATAATGTATCGGGGCACCCTTTGTTGGGGGTGCCACAAAACTTCACGTACACTCGTACGTGCAGAGGAAGCTAATCTACTCAAACAGCTAGTTTGAGTAAAGGTTAAAAGCGAACTGTATTATGTATAGTTAAGCCGTCAAAATAACTTCAGTCTTCATCTAACTATATCAAACTACGTCGTCGTATGACGACAATCTGCTCACCACTCATTGCGCGCGTATAGCAGCGATTGGTAATAATCTTGGTTGAGTCGCCTGATATCAACCAATCTTTATGCAGCGCATAAATATTATCCTATAGGGTATCATATTCCTGCAATATTACCCGAGATGGGTAATATTGGCAAGGGAATTGTCACGCTGGACAATATCCCTCTTGACACCGTTTGGTGTTAATATCATGTAGCGGGCTACCCCGTTACACAGAATGCTTTATTCTGTCAAGCGTTGGGACGCTGCCTACATAAATTGTGTATGTGTTTACGGTGAAGTGGGTGAGACCAGCACGATGCATACGCCGGGAACATCTCATTAAAAATGCAATGATAGTGTATTTCGGTCGGCATAACTTTACGCGCACACCACACTGTGGCCCACTATTAAGCAGAGCGAATCGATACCTGAAGAGAGCAAAGCATTGCAACACTTGTTATCTGGCGTTGCATAGTGTCGTCGAGTGCACATCTCATGACCAACCACTCTTAGATCCGATGTTGTCATAATCTAGCACTCATCGTCTAAGCACGGTCGGGCAGTCTTTAGTTACTTTTAGTTCATTTTAATGACACCTGTACATCACTTCCAGCTGATTTTTGCTGCCTAGAAACCTGCTTGTGTAACTGTTAAAACACGTGTTTTAAACAGCACCTCCTATACTGCATATGTGAGCATACCACGTGTCCGCATCCAACATACCATTTCGGACATATCTCCCTGTCAAATGGCGACTAAGAACCCGCGCATCCTCGCCCTCTTCGACGTGGATGGCACGCTCACGGTCGCCCGTAAGACTGCGACCACCAAGATGCTGGTCCGTCTCCAGAAACTACGCAACCGCATCACTATTGGTGTCGTTGGTGGTTCAGACCTTGTCAAGCAAAAGGAGCAGCTGGGTGACAACGGTATGTCCTATTCGTGCATCACTTGTTGCTGCTATGTTGGCTCGAGTTTTGACGTTTTAACGCTTTAACGTTTCAACAACATCCAGTGACCAACAACTTCGACTACAGCTTTTCGGAAAACGGTCTTGTGGCTTATCACAATGGGAAACTCGTGGGCGAGACGGTAAGCAGACGTGGCTGTCGGCTGACATCTTTGTGATCTTGTATTGCTAACTCGTTTGCTGGTACTATAGAACCTCAAAAGTCAGTTCTCGAACGAGCAGCTCAATCATCTCGTCAGCTTTTGCTTGCGGTACATTGCAGACTTGGACATCCCCGTGAAGCGCGGGACGTTCGTGGAGTTCCGAATGGGCATGATCAACGTGTCCCCCATTGGCCGCAACTGCTCCCAAGAGGAACGCGACGAGTTTGAAAAATACGACCACATCCACAAGATCCGAGAAGTCTTTGTGGAGAAGCTCCGGGCTGAGTTTCCTCAGTACAATCTGACGTTCTCCATTGGTGGACAGGTACGGGTAGTAGAGGCGTTGGATCGAACTCGTGTATCCTGGTGCAATGTTGCTGACATGACACTGTGCTCATGTCTTGTTCGCTGTGAATCCGTGATCTGCAGATATCCTTTGACGTGTTTCCGAAGGTACCCAGGGCTGGTCATTGTCTTCTGCTTGACCAGTTCATGTGCATGGTTAACGTTTACCTTTTTCGCGCTTGGTAGGGCTGGGACAAGACCTTTTGCCTTCGGTACCTGGATGCAAAGGACTACGACGAGATTCACTTTTTTGGCGACAAGACCAACAAGGTGAGCTGAAAGTAGTCGGAAATGCTCTCGTCTAGTCTAGTCAGAAACAGACGGTGTTTTTTACCTGGTGTGTAACAGGGCGGCAACGATTACGAGATCTACACGAGCGACCGCACCATTGGCCACTCGGTCAAGAACCCGGAGGAGACGATCGCAATCTTGGACCAGCTCTTTCCATAGAAAACTGTCTACTTCAAGACACGCTACAACAGGTGATGCACGCAAGGTGGCCATCACGCCGAATAAGCGGCGTGCAAAATACAAATGATTAGCGCACTGACCGTCTTCCGTTGCCTACATCTTCGTCAAGCAGCACACCTGTGCCGAGGACTTTCGCCATGGGGTCATCACCACGCGACTTGAGTAATTTGTATGCTTCCATCTCCTCGGCGTTCACCTCGCTATTACTCACAGAATTGTACTTGCGTTTCTTGTCGTCCTTCTCCGTTTGCCTTTTCTTCTCTTGAGCTGCCTTCTCGATGGCTTTCTTCAGCTTCTTCTCATCAAGTTTCGGAGCAACATTCTCGCCGTACAGCTCGCTGCGCTTGCTGATTACACCACCTGCATCAGCGGATACAGTCTCGTCGGTCAATCCAGACTTGAGTTTCTCAGGCACCTTGAGCATCGGCCGCTCTACATTCACCAACTTTGCTTCAGCAGAAGCTTTCTTTCCATCATCGCCCGTGCAGTACGACTTCCGGACCCTTAAGTGACAGCAAGCATATCCCCATGCCATTTCACTGCGATCGAACCACGAGCCCCAAATACTCGTGTGATTGTTCTCCAGCGCATCTTCGATATACTTGGAACGTGCGGGCGCGCGTTCGCGGCCCTTGACGATACGGCCGTCGCGCGAGTATTCCACATAGTGCTCGCTCTGTGCCAACAAAAGCTCTTTCGGTGGTGCTTCCAGGTGTTCCTGGCCACCGTATTTGTCCAGAATTTTGCGGCTCTTCTCCTTTTCCAGTGCCGCTTTTCTCTCTTCGTACTGCTTTTTCAAAAACTCAGCCTGCGAAGGGTTCGCAAGCGAATGGATGTCCGTGCCTTTGGCATATGCCTCCCACGCGAAAAGCTGCGCCGACGCCAACTTCTGCGCGTCACCCGTAAAACGAGCCATGTTATCGCCAACAAACGTCGTATCTTCTGGATTCAGCTCTGGATTCGGATTATCACGCATGGATCGCGTCTTTGGGTCGTAATAGGCCGAGTTCGGGTTCAAATTGCGAAGGTACTTGGCCGTGTCTTCCCGGATACGCAGATTCCGTACCGTCGTTTTCATCTGCGCACCACCCACGCCTCCCTGACGTGCTACGCGCTCTGTGAACATGGGCCCTTCATCGTAATCACGAAATGCTTCTTCCTCCGACTGCACGTCCGAGTCATAGTCAGAGTCCGAGTCCGAGTCCGAACCCGACTGACACGCCATGTCCTCCTTCCCTTGCCCCGATCCTTTCTTCAGCTGCTCGTCCATCTCCTTCTTCTTCTTCCTCTTCACCTTACTATCCACTGAATCTTGCAGCTTCTTGTTAATCTCTTCCGTGCGCAACTGTTTGCGAGCCGCGTCCACTTTCTCGTATCGCTCGATCGTCTTGGCGTGTTCCTTCGGGTCATACCCGAGCCACTGGTCGCGCTTCGCATCAAACGCGAGTTTCCCAAACTTTTCCGACCGCACGTCCACTCTCAAGTCGTCCGTCATGACGTTCTTATGGGTCTTCCACGCCCCCACTTTCCGCGGTCGCTCGACGCACTCGTTCGTCTTGTGACTCCCCGCGCCGCAGTTGGTGCACGCGCCTTTGCGCCACTTGCGCTGTCTACCTGAGACTGTTGTCGACTGCTTCCTGTCCTTGCGATACAGCTCGTCGGCCTCGTGAATCGACAGGAGATGCGCCTGTTGCTGCAGCGTCTGATGCTTGAGCGACGGCCCCGAGTCTCCCAAGTACCACGGCCGCTTGCTAATGTACTCGGGGTTGTGTGGATTGATGAGATTCCCGTCCGCATCTTGTTCCGGCGGCAACGTGCCGTTCTTACGCGCCTCCTCGATCTCGCGCTTCTTCTTGAAGTCGCTGCTCGACAACCGCTCGCCGCCTGCAGACGCCATGCGCAGGACAGAGTTGAGTGTACGACGAGAAATGAGGAAGGGACTACCAAAATTGTACGACGAGTCAAGCGGTGCCTTTTGATTGGACGATAACGACAACCACAACACACGGGTCGTGCGGGTTTCTGATTCGTCAATAAGGGCTTACTCTCGAAGGCGCGGGCCAGTCACGCGAGAAAGAGGGCAGCAAGAGTGATTGTCACGCTCGTTTCCCCATGATCTCCGAGGTGGCGCATCTCGAGTGCGTGCGGCTGCTGGAGCTACTCACGAATGCGCGTGTCCAGGAGAGCTGGTCCTGGGTGTTCATGACGCCTGTGGACATCCCTGGCTACGACCAGGTGGTTAAAAAGCCCATGGATCTGGGCACGATCACGAAGAACTTGGGCTCGAAACCCTCGCGGTGCCGCTTCAAGTCGCACGAGAAGTTCGCGCGGGACGTGCGTCTCGTCTTTCACAACGCGCTCGTGTACAACAAGGACGACCAGGACGTCAAGGGGTCGGTCTACGCCGCCGCGCAGCACCTGCTGCGTGTGTTTGAGACGGCGTATGCGAAGGCGATTGACAGCGTGTTGAAGGCAGATGACGTGAAGGTGGCAGCAGAAAAGGAAGCGCATCGAGAAAAGAAGAAGAAGCGGAGGAAGGGGGAGGGGGAGAAGGGGAAGAAGACGAAGGAGGAGACGAGCCATCACTTTCAAAGCAGCAGCAGCGGTAGTAGCAGTAGCAAATTGACGGAGTTGCAAGCAAAAGAGGGAGAAAAGAGAGAGAGAAAAGACGATGGAGAGGGGGAAGACGAAGGCAGTAGTAAACACCGGCACAAACACCACAAAAAGGACAAGAAAGCGAAGAAAAAGTCGAAGAAAAAGAGCAAAGACAGGGACAGGGACAGGGACAGGGAGAAGACCCGACACTCGAGTTCTCGCTCTGGAGAAAACAAGAAGAAGGCCCATCGAAGCGACCACTTGAATCAAGGGGCAGCGCCTCGAGGGAGTGGAGCGGAGAACGTTGTGGAAGGACGTGCGGTGGCAGTGTCCAACATGAATGATGTGACGCCGCCAGCTACGACTGGTTCAGTTGTTCCTCCAAGCAGTAGCGTAGTGGTGAAGCAAGAGCCTGTTGCAGATCGGGCTCTCGTAAACAAAATGCCGGACTCAGAGGTGGCTGTGTGCCTCGCATTAATCATGAGGCTGATTAAGTATAAGGATGGGAACATCAGTCCGGCAGCCCCGTTTCTCCAGCCAGTGGACGTGACTCATTTCCCAGACTATCGCATCAAAGTCTTGAATCGAATGCATCTATATGGAGTCCAAAAGAAACTACGCAGTGGGAGCTACAGTACCATTGATGCGTTTGCATACGACGTGCGTCTAATTTTCTCGAATTGCTTGGTGTACAACAGCGACGTGGTCGTGAGCAAGGTGATGCGGAATCACGCAGTAACTCTGATGAAGCTGTTTGAGAGTCAGTTTGCTAAGATTGGTGGGTCCTGGCCAGGCATCCCGGAGCGGTGGCAGTGTCACCAGATCATTCACGACGTTCTTGCGCATCGCACGGATGGTCAAGAGACGGCACAGTGGTTCAAGTACCCCATCGAGGCTTACTATGACGCCCCCGACCAAATTCCGTACAACTACTATGAGACGGTTAAGGAACCTATGGATATCGGCTTGGTATCGTCGAGATTGCACCTGGGCAAGTTCAAGCACGTTTCCGAATTTGTGGCGGGCTTGAAACTGGTTTTCGATAACTGCATTCGCTACTGGAAGCCTGATCCTCAGGGGCAGACGTACTGCAAGTCTGCGGAGACTTTGCTAGACGTGTTGCACGCTCGCAGTGCTGTACTCATATCATCATCGAACAACGCTGATTCGTCTAGAGAAAAGCAGCAACCTTCGTCTACAACCTCATCGATCAACAAGAGTCTGCATCCTTCGTCTGGGCAACAATCTTCGACAATAATGACCAGCGTGCCCAGTCGCGAGGGTGAAGCGACCACGAAGAAGGCGTCGTCATCGTCTTCGATGTCCTCAAAGAATGGCAAGACTTCAAAGTCATCGAAGTCTCGTGAGTCAAGTGGTGGATTGCCTGAAAAGGGTATATGCTTAGGAATCATGAAGCAACTACGAGGCCACAAAATGAAGGGCTATGGTGGAATTGAGATCAAGACGGCTGGCCCATTTTTGACTGCCGTAGATACAACTAAGTACACGGATTATCTTGCAATCGTCTCGGAACCCATGGATTTTGCGAAGATTGAGCGCAAGCTTAAGAGTGATCGGTACGGCAGCGTTGACGAATTTAGCGCTGACGTGCATTTGATATTTTCCAACTGCCACAAGTATAATAGTGATCCGGTGGAAGGTGCTGACATTCGGGCAATGGCCACAAATTTACGCACGTATTTCGTAAAGCTTTGCAACGAAAAGCTGGGTCCTCTTGATGGTATGGTAAACGGACCGAATGGTTCGCCACCACATACGTCAATAGTCCCGTCATGTCCGGCTGCATCGGAGCCAAAGCTAGCATTGTCAGCGGGACCTATCGAAGCTAGCACATGTACGGCGGTCGCTGGAAAGGGGTCTTTTGCGCTTCAGAAAGCAATGAGGAAATCTCCTAACAAGGACTTGCTATCGACTCCATCAGTGGTGGTCTCCAGCAGCGCTAGCCCCACTCGGGAAATAAGGAAGGACAAATCAGCAAGTCGCAGCAAAAAAGAAGCCAAGGCGGACTGTGCTGGTATGGCAACTTTACCACCAGTAGCTCCGCTGGAGCCGGCGGTTCAAGGAGAACCAGAGCCTACCGCCGTATTGGAGACCCCTTCACTTGTTATAAAGAAGGAAGTGTCCCGCGATAGCACAAACTCAGCAGGGCTCACTATCGAGGAAGCAAAACGATTACGCAAAGAGATGAAAGAAAAGAGGAAAAAAGAGAAGAGGGAAAAGAAAGAGAAGAAGAAAAAAGACAAAGAGAAAAAGCGCGAGAAAAAGGAAAGAAGCAAGGTCTTGAGCTCCGTCCCACAGGTACATCTTGATTTTATGTTCACATTGTCTACACATGTTGTACATAACTGATATTTGACTTGTATTGATTTTGCAGGAGAGTAAATTGCCCTCTCAGGGTAGTTCAACAGCAGTATCAGTTCTGCCCCGTCTGGCCTCTGCTGCAGTAGCAGAACATGCTCCCCTTGCTGCTGGATCCGCCACCCTTGCTGCCGGGTCCGCCACTCCTGCTACCGGGTCCGCTACTCCTGCTGCCGGGTCCGCTACTCCTGCTGCTGGGCCCGCTGCTCCTGCTGCTGGGTCCGCCACTCCTGCTGCTGGGTCCGCCACTCCTGCTGCTAGGTCCGCTGCTTCTACTGGTGTACCCTTCGCAACTGCTCCGACAGCAATTGCCTCTAAACGAGGTTTAGTGGAGCTCCATGGTACTGCTAGTTCGGTACCGAGCAAAAAGAGCAAAAGGCACAAGAAGTCAGACCTTACTTCATGGGAGACTTCCTGTGAGCGCGTGCTGAACCGTTTGGGTAAGATTGAGCAAGTGGTGAAGCTGCACTTCAACCACCCCCTACTGGAGGTATTCCCGCACCTTGCCAGCGAGTACACAGCTCTGATCACAGAGCCAATGGACTTGCGGACATTGCGCGAACAGCTGCATGCCCATGCACTAACGCAAGCTGGGTTCTTGCGCAAGGGTCGCCTTATTTTTCGGAATGCTGTCAAATTCAACTGTGCTGATGACCCGGCTTCGATTCAGGTGCGCAACATGTCGGCGCATCTGTTGTGGTACTTTGATTCGCTGTGCGCTGAGCTACAAATTCATCCGGCGCCAGGAGAGCAGAGTCGTGCAAAGCGCGATGAGCTCAGGCGTGAGCGCGTGGAGTTTGTGAATGCCGTGCCAGTTGAGCTGAAAGCCAGAGAGTGTCAAAAACTGCTCCGCGTCCTTAACAGTCAGAAACACGACAAGAATTGCTGGCCTTTTCGCAAGTCTGTCCGCGTGCTGTTTCCAGCCTTATCGCCGGACTACTTCGACATTATCAAGACTCCTATGGATTTGTCAACCATTGCGGGGAAGTTGAATGAGTTCGAGTATAAGTCGCACGGCGAGTTCATTCGAGACTTGCGGTTGACGTTCGAAAATGCCATGGTTTACAACCGTGCTGACAAGGATCGCGAAGGATGGAGCGTGTATTCCGCAGCTTCGCACATGCTAGCAGTGGTGGAAGATTTATGGGGAGATGTGACGCTGGAGGTGACTGAGAAAACTCGCCGCCGTGAGCTGTTGCGTAAGGAGCGCATGAATGAGTCAAAACGAAGACGAACTGATGTCTCTGACGCCAGTGGAGAACGTGGAGACAGAGCACACAAACACAATCATCTCTCAACGGGCGAGAGTGAATCCGGACACAAGCATGGAAAGCATCAGCATGAAGTCAGTGGACGTCGAGTAGAAGAAGCCGCTGGTGTTGCATCTATAGCTGTTAGTGCGGCGTCGAGCGCTTCAATGCCCCCAAAAAGTCCGGGCTTCACAAAACCTGGTGTCACCTCACATTCCGTCGTTGGAACGATAGTTGTAGGTAGCGGAAGTGGCTTGCGCGATGACAACGGTGGAATGGATGCAACAGCAACCCGAGTCAAGTTGCAACTGATGCCGAACCGACCGAACATGGAGCGCATGAACAAGCAAGAGCGCAAGGCCGAAGAGAAGAGGCGGAAGCGTGCTAGACGCGAAGAGGAAATGGCACGGACAGAGAAGAGGCGTCGAACCGCCGTAGCTGCTACCGATGACGCCTTGCGCGAGGCTGAGATCCGGAGTCGTCGCAAGCAACTAAAGCTAGAAATGGCCGAAGCAGTACGTTTGCGTGAAGAACGAGATCGCCGCGTCGTGGAAGAGGAGGCTGAGCGGGTCCGTCGAGCGCAGATGAAGCTCAACGCTGCTGCCTGGACAGGTGTATTGGTACCAGCTGGAGGTGCTGTATCCAGTAAACGAAGAGGTTTCTGGGCGAAGAAACACGCGAAGCTGCAGATACCTCCAGCTTTCCAACCTCCAGCTATCAATGCGTAGGCAGCACAAGTCCTACCGGTAAATGCTCGCGTGCAGGAAGTCTGCTTGCTCAGTAAAATATGCGCATGCAACAGACACAAGTTCTCAATCACATTGGCATTATTTGGTTTTGCTTCTGCAGCACGTCAAGTTGTGCGTCGACTTGGTTTGCTCAAGGTAAAAAGAAGCTTTCATTCAATCAGGTAAGAGGACAGACTACAGACCGATGTCATCATCGTCTCTACTACTCCTCAGTCGGTCATCATCGTTCGCTCAAGTTTTTCGTAGTTGTTATCCTGCGTGGTGCAACACCCTGCGGGGTCTGTTTCGGTTTTTGTGTTATCTCCCACCTTCTTTCCTCCGGATATGCGGTAACAAGTCCGCAAGTGAGCCTTGCAGATCACTCGCCAACTTGCTCGCTCCTTGTTCCAATCAAGATCGCGGCTTTTTTTTCTTAGTCCTGCTCGCCGCTTCTTGCTTCGCCATACCCCTCCTTTTTCCTTCCATCGCTCGGGCAAGTGCCACTTACGGCTGCTGCATGCGCGGCTCTTGTTGATTCCCACCAAAGGTAGGCTCCGCTAAGAGACCCGCTTCAAAGCCTTGCCAGCCATACTTAAAGTGGTACACATGTGGACCGGGCGTTTCTTCTCCACCGCACGAATGGTAGCTGCCACTACACATGCACGTTGGCGGCGGTGCCACCACAGCATAATTGTTGCTAGGCGAGCACGGGGACGGACACGTCTCCAGCCCGTAGCCTTTTCCCAGCGGAGTGTTCATGCCAGTCGAGTACAAATCAACCACAGTGTTCGGCCGCAACAGACCACACGCCAAGTGACTTGGCACCACAACCTGGGACTGGATAAACAGCCGCTCCTCAGTCGGCACTTTGACCCAGCGGTCTTTAGCCTGCGTGCTTGTAGCCTCCAGATCGCACACGCCATAGGCAATGACATACAGCCACGACTTGCACTCCCACAGCACATTGGGGTCTAGCTGCAAGAACTGCGCGACAAACATAAAGTCCAGCGCCGGATCCACCAGCAGCACAGCCGCACCAGCCAGTACACTGGGCCAGTACTCGATTGCCTGGTAGTCCAGCAGCGCAATGTCCACCAGACGAATAGCGTTCGCAAACAGCTCTTTCGTGCCCGACAGATTGCGTGCTGGATCGACAAAGTCGCCCATAGTGTCCAGAGGCCTTTGGTCAGCCGAGCCGCCCGCTACCATAAACAGCAGCCACGCGTACGGTGTCGTTGGGTGAAGGTTCCACTGCAGCTCCTACAGAATAGCAACAACAATACCCACAATAACAGTAACAACAACATGCGTCAGTCCGCTAAACCCTCACACACGCACCCCATCGTTCTCTCTCTCGATCCACCACGTCACCAAAACCCACTATTCTCGACCCCCCTCACTCAACCCCCTCCTCCTTTGTTCTCGACACGTACCCCAATATACTCGACTTCAAAGCGCGCAAGGTCTTGCGCCACCAACTGTGTACCCCCTCGGTCCGCTAGGAACGCCACGAGATCCGCAGCTTTCGGCGGATGGACCTCTTCAATCTTGGCCGCCATAAAGACGCAGACGAGGCCCAGCACGCGCAGCTGCTTCTGCACGTGCGGCACGTCGCGGTGCCACTTCGTCGTCGCGGCCATGTCCTGCAGCGTCGCCGCCCGACGCCGCAGCAGCACTTGCGCGTACTGGTTGGCAAAGTGCGCCGTCTGCCGCTGGAGCGCAAAGTGCGTCGTCGTGTCGACGATCCAGCGCCACGTGAAGCCAAAGTGCGCGTAGGTCGGGGCCGTAGCTTCGGTCTCGAGGCGGAGCGGGAGGGGCAGGTGACGGTCCAACGCCAGCGGCGACAGCAGCGACGTGGTGAGACTCGGGCGGCCGTCCAGCGCCAGGTGGTGGTAGGACATTTCTTTCTGGCGCATGCTAAGCACCGTCATAAGGTCAGGATTCATGGTGCACCGAGGACTCGATGGGCCAATCTTGCGCTCCCTGTCCTGCTCTCCTCACTCACTCACTCACTCACTCACACTCAGTCACTTGTCCGTCCCCCTTGGCTTCCCCCCGTCACTTCCACACTCGTCCAAAGCCGCTCGGTCGCTGCTGCTGCCACACAAAGAAAGCCAGAGAGCACGCACTAAGTACGACTACTTGCGACACTTCACGAGAAGCGAGTTGCGACATGTGGTAACCCTGGGCGCGACGTTTTTTTTTCTTCTGTCGGTCGTTTCGTTTTGTCTCGAGGTGACCGATCGCGCCCGCCTCCTATAGTGAGTGGTTGACGCACGAGTCCGTCCATCTGGTGCCTATCTGCCTGCCGAGAGGTCGCAGCTTCGGTTGGCATCGCTCTGTCTTTACAGCGACGTGCGTGCCTCTAGTATAAAAAAAGAAGGTTCTCTTACCTCGTTCTTGCGTAAGCTTGCCCGCGTTACTTGCGTTTTCCAGGCCCACAGGAGCGAGAGAGGAAAACGAAATTGCGTCAACGGCTAACGGTAGCACTGCGAAGGTTCTCGGTGCTTAACGGCTGTGCCTTTTTGCCACTTCGCTCGAGCTTCTCTCGACTGGCGGTTGAGTATTGATGGATTCATGAGAGCCCTTCGTTGACATGCAGAGACGACCACGGCGCACCTTTCTACGTCAGGTCAGGCGCATATACACTCGCTCTTTTTCTACGTACCTGATTATACTGCCGAACGTGCAGGTTTTACCTCTGGGAAGCTGGACAGCCGGCAGCATCCTCTGCTGGCTGCCAGGCGTCGCCCAGTTTACGAGACATTTTAGAAACGATCCGAGCTCGACGAAGACGAGCAAAACACGAGCGATCTCCGAGACCTGGCGCAGTTGCTTCGGGAACGAAAGCGATGGGCGTTGATGGCAAGCCGTTGTGACCATCCCACGGCCAGCTTTACCGCATCAGATTTCGTCGAAAATTCACATGCATCGATTCCTCACAGGCACACCACAACACTCTCCTTCTCAAGTGGATGCACTCTGGATCGACGTAGTCTTTGCTCCTTTCAAACGCTGGTAGAACACAATGTAGCCGCTACTGAGAAACACTTGCGCGTGCGGCACTTTATGGCCGTTAATAGTACGCTCGTTTGTACATTTTGTTGTCCCGAATCGATCATGCATACGGTAATCAAGCGCGCCAAATGGTTGAAGATCCGATTCTCTGTCGACGACTGGGCTGGATCAGCCCACTGGCCTGGATGTTACGCAGGTTGCAGTCTGAGCCTTAACACCGCCCAGTGGCTTTGGAACAAACTTGAAGACGCCCAGCTGGACAACACACTGACATTATTGAAGCAAGTGAACCCTTGATGACATTTGTAGGGATCAGACGCAATCGAAATACCGTTCAGTTGGGTCTGCGCGTTGCTTGATTTCATGAAACGAGTAATGGGCTTGACCACCACCGGGAAGCTACTGATGCTTCGTTTGCGCTTTAGTGCATTACGAGGATGAAGGCACACATGAGACTCGCTGCATGTGCGGACGCAGCCTAAATCGCAATGACGTGTACCGAAATGATATGACTTCGCACGAACGGTGCTTGTCGTAGTAGGCAGAATACAGAGAACCAGGAAGTTGGATGGAGAGCCGGGGACCTAGACTGCTTTGACATTTATCTTGCTTGATACGGATGAACGACCTCAATGACTTTGGTCATAGATCTGCTTGTCAAATAGCGTGCTTGCGATGAAAACAGCTTGCAATTCCGTGTGTGTACATGTCTGTCTGTACGTATTTACAAGCTGCTTACTTTACTGGTTGCATGTTCGCGATCCATCATGAAAGAATGGATGCTGACATTCTGTCGAATTGTCAGTCGAGTGATGCAGAGCTGACGTGTTCGTTTTTACTGGAAGCACAGGTATTTGTCGCAAGCCTCTTCTTACGCCTGTTTGGCTCTCAGATGCAATACGCATAGTTCATGTGCGCGATGGTTCCTCTAGCTCCATCATCTGGACGCGAAAGAATAAAGCATACAGTTTCGGGCTTGTAACGCAAGACTTGAGCTGCTTTGCGGAACTACATCGTCGTCGTCACGGAGAACTAATTGGCGACAGAAGAGAGGGGGGGGTCGTTTTTGAGCCTGCGGTAGCAATGTGAACGAACATTGGGGAAATCGTGTGGCTGTCTTAACCGAAATCTTACATACCGTAGCAATCTGCTAGATCGACTTTGCTCAAACTGATGGCGCGCGTGGACGTATGTATGGCTAGAATTGTGGTGGTCCTGCCACACGAGCATCGCAGAAGCTCACCCTTAAATTACAAGCGACAGTGTGTTGTAGTCTTCGACCATTTACGGTGCTACTTCTTGTAGCGCAAATAAAACCAGTTTCTTGCTTGCGCGACTTGGGGACTACCCACGCAGAGCCATGCGAAGGCCGAGGGCATCGTTCTGAGTCCATCGGATCAGAAAAGAAGTGTCGCGCTGTGCGGCTGAGAATCCTCGAAAGTATTCTCTACATCGTGACGTACGTGCAAAAGCAGCGTCGTAACGCGAATATAAGGCGTTATTCTTTGGATGCAATCTACAGGTAAGGTGATTAGATGTCATCGAGGGCGTAAGCTCGTGATGAAACAGCCTGAGCATGTTTAACTTTTGGTCAACAAGTGGCGTGTACAATCTAAAATACGACGGATCAATTGTGCATGGATGTCGCTAGTGAAGGGATGTCATTACCTGTCGATGTTGAGAACAGGCCAATGTGAGTAGCACGTGTAACGTAAATATGACAGATCAGTACTTGGACGAGCCACGATTCTTTTGCAGGCTTTATTTTCTGTCGAGGGGAACAGATGTTGCTAGTGCAAGGATGTCATTACTTCTCGATGTCACACGGTATCAGAACACCCCGATACGGCATATGCATCGCGCCCTTTCTGTCCCTTCACTACTCTCTTCAACACATGGTCAGTAAGTAGTAAACTCATGAGTCTTCGACGAAGACCACTTCTTATCCGATCGCAGATCCTTGCCACGCTGACAGTCTATCCCGTGTTTCATGGGTACGCCAAGCATAAAACAAATCAGCCAAGCACCTTTCTTTTGACGAATAAAGTGGACACATATGATTGCACTCGCTTTCGCAGGCAGCAAAACGCATGTCAGGACATGCATGCTATCGGTGTAAACTTACTGGTAATTCGAAAGCAAACCTGATGCACGTACACTGGTCAGCAGCCGATCGCGTGAGGGCAAAGAAAGACGACTACCGTCTGGTGCTTCCTGCCTGTACGACGGCGATAGAGCCGGTCGCTGTAGCATGTTGGAGCAATTGTACGGCGCTTTCGAACGGACGCTTCGGTCGTCGTCTGCTACAAATCGTGCTCTTGTTTGACAAAACCGTCCCTTGTCATCAACCAAAGCAAGAGACTGGGCTAGTCGTCGCTCACGTAGGGCGTCGCTTGCGTCAATAGATCGGCGTTTTCCATCTCTCGGCCATTCGCAATCGACACGAAGTAAATGGGTATCGGGCGAGCCGCAGCGTACGCGTTTGAACACCCCATTGACTCATTTTTTCATGTCCGGCTTTCTAATCAAGCGAAATATTTGGAAGTATAGGCTTTGAGAGGTTTAGCCTCGGTCAGGCAGACGTTTGGTCTCATTTGGGGACCCTTCTATACTATGTGCTGAGTCGTCTCGAATTTAGAATAGGGATAGGGCTACAAATGACTTAGCTTCTCATAAAATAACAGACAAAAAATGTAATTTCAGCCATAGAAAGGCTTCTGGTCTCCGTCTTCCAGCTTGTAGCAGTAGTCCAACGGTCTTATCCTGATTGTCAACGTTTGCATCCACTCGCGGTCGAATCACAGGACGACAAATCGAGCCAAAAAAGTCGATCCTTTTTTTGGCCACTCCGCCACGCCTTTGGGTCTTTTTGTCATTCTGCTTTTATTCATCACCTCCTACCATCTCTGTCCAAGCGAACGAGAATGGGCCGAAAACACTGGTGTGGCGCTGGCGTGGCGCTCGCAGCGCTGCTCCTGGCAGTAATGGCTGCCGTCGTGCGCCTCCTGATGCTCGTTGTGCACCTTGTGACACTGCGCTACTCGCTCGTGATTGGCTCAATGGCCTTCACGCTCTGGTTCGGACTATCGCGGCGACGGCGGTGCGCCCGGGGCTTCTATTCGTGTTCGCAGGTACCTCCTGTGCAGCAGACGGAGCGAGTGCAGCCAACAGCTAAGGAGCAAGAAGAAGAAGCAGGAGCAAAACACAAGCAGCAGCAGCGGGTGGCAGCAGTGGTGCCCCTTGCTGGGAGGGTCATGGACCAGCTCAAGAAGGTCGCAACGACCGCAGCATCCGAGACGGAGTCCGAAGATGACGAGAACGAGGCAGCTGTTGTACACGTGGCTAATGTTACCATGGTGTTGCCAAGTAGTCAGTGTGGCTCGTCTGCTTCTGCTTCTCCTTCTCCTTCCCCTTCTTCTGGACATGACAAGAGGCTTGTGGACGTGCGGACGCGTAGAGATCCGACGGTCGACGAGCTGCTGCTGCAGCAGCGACGAAGTTGGCGTCCACGATCGTCCTCGGCTGTTGACGACAGCAGATACGCTCGTGTGACGGATAGAAGCACGGACTCTGGTAGGAGAGTTGACTTGCATGAGATGGAGTCGATGTGCGGAGTCGCACGGCGTCGGGCGGATACGGGCTTGGCCATTAACAACAATAACAAGGTGAAGCAGCACGAGCGGCTGAGGCGGGCGACGTTCATGTCGAAACAGGATACACACGCGGTTTCCCGCTCGGACCGACTAGAAGAAGCACGAGGCTCGGATGGCTACTGGATTGGGGATTTCAGCATGCAACGACGTCTGGTGTCTCGCCGCAGCTACAATACCAGTCCCAAGGCCAACTGAGTTGTGAGTGAGAGACGGACTTAAGTTATTGTTTGTGAATCTTCAAGAAGGTTGTTTTGATCTGCCTTCATGTGCGTGCACTTACTACTACCAAGTAGCAAGAAGGCGTTGAACCTGATTGCTCAGTATGAACCTCTATCGTCCATTGCAATTTGTCTGTGTATACTGTGACAGCGTGAAATAGGGATCTGCATCGTACGACACATGCAAAAGACCACTTGGAAGTGGTCGCTTGGCTAAGGTCGCACGTCAATCGTGCCCCGCCACTTGCCACGTGAAGTACACGACTAGGGCTGCATTCTTAGGCCTGCCATGAATCGCTCTCCTTCTCAGATCCGATCTCGGTCTACTCTCTCCTCTGCACAGCCCAGCGACACAGTATTCCCATCCCCTGGAGCACCAAAGCCTGACGTGTCAACCTCGCTTTCATCCTCACTTTCCTCGACCTCGTTCCCATGACGTTGCTCTGGGACTGAGAAAGTAATGGGCGAGAGTCCAAACGAGAGTCTAAGTCGTGAGCGCTGTTTCGGCGTAGCAGCCACTAAAGTGTCCGTCAGCGGCGATGGAAATATCGCCTCGTACAGCGTACTACTCGGAGTCACACAACGCGTGACAACGGGCGACGCCGACCATCGAGGCGGCCCCACCGATAGCGACTCGGACTCGCTAGTCAACGCACTAGCAATACCGAGCTTCTTCTTTTCCTGTCGCTGTCGTTCCTGGGATCTAGCAGTCCCGCCGCAGCATTGATACGGCTCCATTGGCAGCGACCGAGACGGCGTCGGCGTTTTGCTCATCCTCTTTCCACATCCATCTACTGCACGTCTCGGAACCCGAGCCGCTAACAACGGCGTCCGCAAAACCTCGTACTGCTTTTCATCCTCAAAAAAGCCGCTGGCTCCAGGAGACGTCTCCAATCTACTGGCAGCTTGTTTCTGTTGAAATAGCGGTGAGAACACCACGGGCTTGAGCTCCGCAAGCGTGTCGATGCTCCAGTTTAACGCACATTGAGCGTCTTGCGATTCCGTTTCATCTTCTTCTTCTTCTTCGTCTTCCTCGCCGTCAATTGACCTCTCGCTTGCTAGAGCTACGTCGAATGAAGGGAAGGGATTTCTGTCAGTGGTCAACGCGTCAAAGGGGTTGCTAATGCTACTGCACGGAACCAACTCGTCTCCTTCAGAAGCGTCAGTCATCACCCTATCAAAGCTGCAGTATGATGCGACGTCTCTTGCTTGCAGGCGACTGAGAAGCGACAGCCACTCCCTTAATTGCTGTCTAAATTGCACCCGATACGATGATTGCTACTCCAACCGTGATTCAAAATGGAGGCAATGGAATTGAATTGGTGACGGTGTGATCGGATGAAGACGCAAAAGGCCGCAGAGAATGACTTACTGTTCCCAAACGACTTTCCCGTTTGTTCACTTCTCAAGCAAGACTCAACAAAGTTGAGCAATGTCAAAACTGCCGTCTTCCATGTAAACCGCGAGTCGTCTTAAAGTCGCGGTCAGCTGTGCGCCGAGCACACACTGGTAAGGCAAGTTTCTCTCGTTTTGAATTAGCGCAATATTTGATGACCCATGTGTAACGGGGTGAATCGTTACATAACAGTTTATAAGAAATTGTTAATAGAATATAACTATAAGAGTTATATTCTCAGAATATTGTCATAAGGACAAATATTCTGCAGCACTTACGAGTAGTTCCTAATTGGTTGATATAGGCCATTATATCAACCAACGAAGACGCGCCACGACAGACGCACGCAATGAGTGGTGAGCAGATAGTTGATATGCACATTTGTATTCAGACATAGTTAGATGAGGATAAATAGTGATTTATTGGAGACATTAACTATTATAAATACAGTTCTACTTTTTACTTTAACCAAGTACTCGCTTCTTCTTACCGTCTTCCTCTGCACCTACGAGTGTACGTGAAGTTACGAGGCACCGCCTTATTCTGTCGTCAGAATAAGTAGCTTGTACTGTCATCAGTACAAGCTTCAGGGCGCCCCGTTACACCTGGTAGCACTTTGTAGTCCGTCCAAGGATTACGGTCACATCTAACATGAATATGTTGGATGATGAAGATGACCAAAGCTTTCACGCTACGCGTGACGGCTACTCCCATTTGAGCGATGTCGAATGAGATGCGGTTGAACGAATGGGTTCAACCATGGGCATCCATGCTGTTAGCGTCATGCTAGAGGCTCTCAATAGAGATGCCCAACATGCTACTATCGCCAAGTTCATTCAAAATGAACTTGACGCTGAACGCGAGAAAGTAGCCTTGCTTCACCAACAAGGTTCTCAACAAGCAGAGTTGTTGAGAGAACAGAGTGCTCAACAGTTTGAACTGTTGAGACAGCAGCAGGCTGCTGCTGGTGGGTCGATGCACTAGCGTTGACCCGAAACCTTGAAGATTGACATCTCCAAGTATAGGGGAGTCGAAGAGGACTCCCTCTTGAGATGGTTCGTCGAATTAGGCGACGCCATAAGGGCGCGTCGCATCGACGACGGGGAAATGCAAGTTGCATTTGCCCAGTCAAATCTGGCAGGACGTGCCAAGACTTGGGCTTTGGGGCTCAAGTTGCACGACCCATATGCGTTTGGGTCGTTGGAAGTCTTCAAGTCGCGGCTCAGACAAACGTTTGAAACGCCTAGAGCTGAGTTCAGAGCTCGAACTGAACTCTTGAAGCTCAAACAAGGTAAGCGTGATGTGCACGCTTACGCTCAACATACACGACATCTCACGAGTTGTATAAGTTCCAATCCGGTGGATGAACACACGTTGGTTTCGGTGTTCATGCAGGGTCTTGCGGATGGTCCCGTCAAGACTCACCTGTTCCGACTTGCACTAGATTCACTAGAACAAGCCATTTCCATTGCGGGACAGGAAGACTTCAGTCTGAGACAGGCTCGCGCCAGCTCGACATCATATCGTCAACCGAGACGATATGACAACGGAGGTCCAGAGCCGATGGAACTCTGTTATGTAGAGAGCGAGAAGGCTCGCTCTACAGACTACAAGAAGTTGCAGAGATGCAACAGATGTCAGAAGACAGGAAACTACGCTTACGAGTGTAGTGCCCCTCTTCCAGTGTCTCGCAACACTGGGCGTAGTGACCGTCCACCCGTGAGAAAGGGCAGGGACGCGGGTCCGCTGTTGGTACAAAGACGCAACAACGGGATGGACCGTAAAAAAAAACGGACAGGATCAGTAGGTGCGGAGCACCCCACTGGTCCAGCAACGTCAAGAGAATTTGTAGGCCTCTTGATGAAGGTTGCTCCCAACAAATGGTTACGCTTCGGAGCAAAGTTCCGGCGGCTGTGAGAAAACACAGGCTGCGCCGAAGGTCCACCACTCGAATAGGTCGAGTGGACCGGGACAAAGATGTATCCCTAGCGGGGAACATCTAGAAGAGAAAAAATCGATCGCTCAGGTTAAGCGAAACGATGATCCTAGATCGACTGGAGAGTCTTTCGTAGAGGATCTCACTGTTGTTGCGCAACCCCAGCTAGAGGAAGTTAAGGGAATAAGTCCCGATATTACAAATACGGCGGAAATGAGCTCCCCGAAACCCGCGGGAATAAGTCCCCTGGAAGCCGAAGGAATAAGTCCTTCGAGGCCTGAGGGAATAAGTCCCCAGGAAATGACTGAGACATTGAATGTCATAGTCAATAACGGATCAAGTGTAGGCGCTTATACACTTGATCTGATTGCGCCTCCGAAGTTGACTTCGGAGATCACTCAGTTGCCAACGCTCGAACACAAAAGGTTCTTGCGTGATCTGCGTAGTGACAAAGTCAAGCAGATCTGCGTACTCGTCGCTGACGACGAGTGTGTAGCCGACATAAGGTCAGCAACAGTGTTTACTGAGAACGAGAGAGTTCTCAGTAGTTCATCTATGGACGAGAGTGTCCTAGATGAAAAGACACGAGTTGAGCGATATGACTCCCAATCGTGGGAATCGCTCAAGACAAATCCTCTCTATGAAGATTTGGTTGAATTCAAGGATGTATTCCCTGAAACTGTTCCGTGCGAATTACCGAAGGATAAAGGTATTCGACACGAGGTCGAGCTTAAACCAGGCTCGAAGTACTGTGTCATGAAGCAGTGGCCACTGCCTCGTGAACAAGTACTTGCGATCGACAAGTTCTTTGCCGATCGTTTGCTGCGGGACATGTGAGGGAATCAACCTCCCCACATAGCTCTCCGACCTTCTGTGTGCGAAAAGCAACAGGAGGGTGGCGGATAGTGCATGCATTTAACAAGTTGAATGCTGCAACGGTACCGGCTCAGACGCCGATACCAAGGAAGGACGTAATCATTGATGGTATGTCAAAGAGTACCATCTTTTCGTCCATGGATTTGATGGATGGATTCTGTCAAATCCTTATGCGAGAACGGGATATACCCTATACCGCACTTAGCACGCCTAGCGACATGCTCTGGGAATGGCTAGTAATGCCACAAGGGCTTAGTAATGCCCCTGCCACGTTCAACAGATGTGTATCACATCTGTTGAGACCAGTACGAGAATTCGCGCCGAGTTATTTCGATGACGTATCCATCCATAGTCGAGCTATGGATGGAAAGTCGGAAGTTGAGGTTCACAGGTACCACGTCCGACAGGTTCTTACAATCATGCGAAAGCATCAATTGTATGCAAACCTCAAGAAGTGTATATTTGCAGCAAGCGAAATACCACTTCTTGGGTGCATCGTTGGTAAGAACGGTGTACGTCCTGATCCCGAAAAGATCAAGGCGATCACCGACTGGCCTGTGCCGGTTGATGACAAAGGTCTTCGAAAATTCCTTGGGCTAGCGGCGTATTTGCACAAGTATTCACGCAATTACGCCGAGATGACTGTGCACCTCTCTCGTTTGTTGAAAAAGAACGAGAGGTGGTTATGGAACGCTGAATGTCAGCGCTCCTTTAATGGTATCAAGCAGAGCTTGATACAATCCCCAGTCCTAGCAATAGCCGATCAGGACAGGCCATTTCATGTGGTCTGTGATGCCAGCGATTTCGCAATCGGCTGTGCACTAATGCAGTACGATCTTGAAGGCGTTGAACGCGTCGTCTGCTACCAGTCGCGTCAGCTGCAACCAGCTTAGCGGAACTATCCAGTGCATGACAAGGAACTCCTTGCCATGAAGTATGCACTCGCAAAGTTCAGAGTCTATCTATTAGGAGATTGACCCTTCATTGTTTACACTGACCATGCGTCATTACGCACGGCAGTGAACAGCCCGCACCTTTCACAACGAATGGCGCGGTGGTTGTCATTCTTTGCAGAATACAACTTTACGGTCGAGTACAAACCAGGACGACTTAATGTCGTCGCTGATGCACTCTCACGTCGTCCCGACTTTGAACCAGTCACGAAACCCAACAGTGAGACAGTCACTGTTGCGGTTATGACGTCCTACAGTCCCATCTACAACGTTGTATGATGATGTGAGGCGGGCATACGCCCGAGATGGTGAGATTGTGAAGTTGCTGACACATCTCTCCCAACCATCTCGAGAATCGTTGAAACGATTGTCGCCTGCGTATCGATATGCATCAGATCGATACACTACTCGCAACGGGTTACTGTATTATACAGCCGTTTCTGGTGACACACCACGTGTTGTCATTCCAGAAGATACTGATCTGCGTTTGCGGATCATGTTCGAGTATCACGATGCTCCTATAGGAGGACATCGTGGCCGGGAGAAAACATATCTCACGGTGAGTCGAGACTTTTACTGGCCCCGCCAGTATCAGTTTGTGCGCAAGTACGTTCGTGCATGCGAAGTCTGCCAACGAGTGAAGTCAAGTCCTTCACTGCGTTCACCTTTACAGCCTCTACCGGTTCCGGCTGAGTGCTGGGAATCCATCTCAATGGATTTTGTCTTCGGGTTACCCAAAGACGCACGCGGGAATACGGGTATTCTCGTATTTGTTGACAGATTCAGCAAAATGGTACACCTTGTGGCTGTACCGGAGTCAATCACGGCAAGTGGCTGTGCTTGTGTCTTTATTGACACCATCTTCCGACTTCATGGGTTGCCCCGTGAACTCGTATCAGACAGAGATCCACGATTCACTGCTGATTTCTGGCGTCCCGTGTTCAAATCACTCGGAACGCGCTTGAAGATGTCTACATCTGATCATTCAGAGTCCGATGGTCAGACGGAACATGCCGATCGTGTCCTCGAAGAGATGCTTCGAGGATACGTACACTCCTTTAAGAGTTGGAGTGAGTCCTTGCCCATGGTAGAGTTTGCCATTAACAACTCGGTGCATGCGTCCACGACACATACACCGTTTTACGTATATGGCTTGCGCCATCCGCGTGTACCCACCTTACTAGAGTGTAACTCTGGTTTTAGGGGGGGAGGGACTCGCGCGAGCAAAAACCGATTTGGTTCACGCTCATCACGCTCTGACGAAAAGGTCATTGCGCCGATATCGATAACATCGATATCGAAGAAGATGATGCCAGTGAGAGTGCGGAAGCCCTCACTGAAGAAAAGGTTGATGTTGCTGCAGTGCACTCACAGCGCACTGTAGCTAACGAGGCATCAGATGAGTTCATACTGGCTCGTGAGACGGTAGTCCGTTTTGTGCGAGACTCCATCGCCGAAGCGGTGGATAAGCAAAAGCAAAACGCAGACGAGAATGGAAGGGCAAACACTCTTTTATTTAATAAAGGTGACTTAGTCCTACTGTCTACGGTTAATCTACCAAAGCATGTAGTGACTAAAGTGGGTAGCAGTAAACTACTACCCAAGTACATTGGCCCATTTCGTGTATTGCATCGCCTAGGCAATGCGTACACGATCGAATTGCCACGTAAGATGCGAACGCATCCCACGTTTTACGTTGGTCGGCTTAAGCCGTACCATCAGTACGCTGCTTCTTCCGATGAAGAACGCCCTTGCGCTCAAGCATCTCGCAGAGAGCCTTGTGGTCCCGATGGTGGGCATCGACAAGGGTCTGAAGAGCAGTTATCTCATCCCGAGACCGATCAACAATCCCACGAGCTACCCTTAGCTCGTCACGAAGAGATGTCAGAGCTCTCTCGTTCTCAAGCTGAGCAAAGGCAAACTCAGCTCGATGCCTCGAAACAGCGTCCGCCAGTTGGAGACGCCTGTCCCGCTCATATTCGAGATCGCCGCGTAACCCTTGCGTTACGCGATCAAAGAAGCTCTCGGGAACACACGCTTCCCCACGATTGTGTGGAGAGCGTCTTCCCTCCTCTTCCACCTCAATTAGAGGACTCTCGCGGTGGCCAGCGCTATTGGTTGAGCAGCTGTTGAACCACCGCGACGTGAACGGACGTCGGACGAGTTACCTCGTCCGGTGGCGCGGTTATCCCGCGTCCTGGGATACTTGGCAGTCCCGCTCCCAGCTGATGATTGACGTACTGGGTCTGGTTGAGCAGTACGACACGGCACATCCTGTGTCGCAGAAGGACCGCCGGAGAAAGTCTTCCCGGCACGGTCGTAAAGGGATTTCAAGTTGTCAATCCCTTCGTACATCTCACTGGAGATACGTACGCGCCACCACGGGCTAGTAAGGAGGTAAGCCTCCTTAGGTGCTCGTGCAGAGTTGTTCACACAACACGGGCACGAGTCTCCCCAAGAGAGGCAGGGTAATCCTTTCTCCCTTGACAGACGATGCAGCTTGTAGCGTGCACCTGTCGGGGTTCGCTTTTCAAACTTATCACGAGCTTTGATAAGTTTGTCGTTCCAAACGTCACGACCTACATCCTCAAGGTTATGGATGTAGGCGTTCCACGCTTGAAGCAGCGAGGGACCATCACGTTTGTGATTCACACTGTACCATCGATGTTTAAAGAAAGCATCGATGAAGAAATCGTTTTCAGCGCGATAGTTTTTCGCGCTGGGGTCAAGGTGATGGATCCTTGACGAATCGAACAATCGTGCTCGATAACGATCACTCGTCGTCGCCGACAAGTGATCCATGACGGATTTGGGAGGCATCAATGCCTTCTTCTCGGGAGCGAGACGCAACACACTGCGGTCCCGCTCTTCCTGCGACGTGCCGACAGAAGGACTGGCACCTCGTTGCGAAGTGGTGTCAATAGGAGAACCGACACCACTGTTAGCGCCCGAGTCTCGCGACCTCGAGCGCCTTCGCTTCAGCGATGGTTCATCTGTTTCATCAGATGAACCAAAGATGCTGCGACGCGTAGCATCATCCATGCCACGCTTGGCAGGCGGATTGGATTCGATCGCCGTCGATACGGATCCGTCTTCCGTATCAGGAGAGTATGAGACACCGAGCTCATACTCTCTGTGAAGACATGAGTGTCTTCATGACGAGCGCCTGCATCACCAGGTGACACAGGCTGAGTCGCTTCAGCAACCGATGAGACATCTGTTGCTGCGGTTTCTGCTTTGGCGTCCGCACAGAGACGTGCGGACGCGCTCTCGGCGGCCTTGCTCGCGCATCGCATGGGCTTGTTAACCATGCGATGAATTGTTGGAAAGTGGACTCGGACCAACAAGTGCAAACCCTGTCCCAAATGATTTGGGACGAGTATCCATTTAGTCAATCAGTCACTAAAGTGACTGATGGTTAAGGGGGGGGTGATGTAACGGGGTGAATCGTTACATAACAGTTTATAAGAAATTGTTAATAGAATATAACTATAAGAGTTATATTCTCAGAATATTGTCATAAGGACAAATATTCTGCAGCACTTACGAGTAGTTCCTAATTGGTTGATATAGGCCATTATATCAACCAACGAAGACGCGCCACGACGGACGCACGCAATGAGTGGTGAGCAGATAGTTGGTATGCACATTTGTATTCAGACATAGTTAGATGAGGATAAATAGTGATTTATTAACAGACATTAACTAAGATAAATACAGTTCTACTTTTTACTTTAATCAAGTAATCGCTTCTTCTTACCGTCTTCCTCTGCACGTACGAGTGTACGTGAAGTTCCATGGCACCGCCTTATTCTGTCGTCAAAATAAGTAGCTTGTACTGTCATCAGTACAAGCTTCAGGGTGCCCCGTTACACCATGTGCACAACGCAAGTTTTTCTTCTCTTTTGTCTGATACAGCACGGCGATTTTACTGCATCACTCATGTACAGCATCTGTCTTGTGCTATGTTAGCGATCTCCTTCAGTTGTCGTCGTACGCATGTTGTTGCAATGCTCATCTGACTGATCTAAGACACTTGATAGTTGATCCCTGAGTTCCTTTGCCCTTGCCAAACTATCGCTAGTGATGGCAACTGACATCGACATGACGAGTCGAAGAACTAAAAACGTAGCTTCGAATTTGGGACAAGAGACAAAAGAAGAATCATCGCTTGGCAAGTCCGTTCCCATCGTATGTTTAGCTCAGTCTGGAAGTGAAACGTAAGAAGCAACTCGAACGAGCCAAGCTATGTATGTAGCACATTGTGTCACAATCGATGAACAGACATAGTGTGGTGGAGTGGCGATCGCTCGTTTTAGGAGGTAATGCTAACTCTCTACTATTGCCTAGAAGACCGACTAACGGAGAGGTTACTCCAATACCGTGTAGATGCAATCCTTCCTCGCCTCGTGTACCCTTCGGAAGGGCAAATTTTACACTTTTCGGTGTGGTCGTGCGGGAATCCTCACACGATCACGTGTAACGGGGCACCCTGAAGCTTGTACTGGTGACAGTACAAGCTACTCATTTTGACGACAGAATAAGGCGGTGCCATGGAACTTCACGTACACTCGTACGTGCAGAGGAAGACGGTAAGAAGAAGCGATTACTTGATTAAAGTAAAAAGTAGAACTGTATTTATCTTAGTTAATGTCTGTTAATAAATCACTATTTATCCTCATCTAACTATGTCTGAATACAAATGTGCATACCTAACTATCTGCTCACCACTCATTGCGTGCGTCCGTCGTGGCGCTCTTCGTTGGTTGATATAATGGCCTATATCAACCAATTAGGAACTACTCGTAAGTGCTGCAGAATATTTGTCCTTATGACAATATTCTGAGAATATAACTCTTATAGTTATATTCTATTAACAATTTCTTATAAACTGTTATGTAACGATTCACCCCGTTACATCACCCCCCCCTTAACCATCAGTCACTTTAGTGACTGATTGACTAAATGGATACTCGTCCCAAATCATTTGGGACAGGGTTTGCACTTGTTGGTCCGAGTCCACTTTCCAACAATTCATCGCATGGTTAACAAGCCCATGCGATGCGCGAGCAAGGCCGCCGAGAGCGCGTCCGCACGTCTCTGTGCGGACGCCAAAGCAGAAACCGCAGCAACAGATGTCTCATCGGTTGCTGAAGCGACTCAGCCTGTGTCACCTGGTGATGCAGGCGCTCGTCATGAAGACACTCATGTTCACAGAGAGTATGAGCTCGGTGTCTCATACTCTCCTGATACGGAAGACGGATCCGTATCGACGGCGATCGAATCCAATCCGCCTGCCAAGCGTGGCATGGATGATGCTACGCGTCGCAGCATCTTTGGTTCATCTGATGAAACAGATGAACCATCGCTGAAGCGAAGGCGCTCGAGGTCGCGAGACTCGGGCGCTAACAGTGGTGTCGGTTCTCCTATGGACACCACTACGCAAAGAGGCGCCAGTACTTCTGTCGGCACGTCGCAGGAAGAGCGGGACCGCAGTGTGTTGCGTCTCGCTCCCGAGAAGAAGGCATGGATGCCTCCCAAATCCGTCATGGATCACTTGTCGGCGACGACGAGTGATCGTTATCGAGCACGATTGTTCGATTCGTCAAGGATCCATCACCTTGACCCCAGCGCGAAAAACTATCGCGCTGAAAACGATTTCTTCATCGATGCTTTCTTTAAACATCGATGGTACAGTGGGAATCACAAGCGTGATGGTCCCTCACTGCTTCAAGCGTGGAACGCCTACATCCATAACCTTGAGGATGTAGGTCGTGAAGCTTGGAATGACAAACTTATCAAAGCTCGTGATAAGTTTGAAAAGCGAACCCCGACAGGTGCACGCTACAAGCTGCATCGTCTGTCAAGGGAGAAAGGATTACCCTGCCTCTCTTGGGGAGACTCGTGCCCGTGTTGTGTGAACAACTCTGCACGAGCACCTAAGGAGGCTTACCTCCTTACTAGCCCGTGGTGGCGCGTACGTATCTCCAGTGAGATGTACGAAGGGATTGACAACTTGAAATCCCTTTACGACCGTGCCGGGAAGACTTTCTCCGGCGGTCCTTCTGCGACACAGGATGTGCCGTGTCGTACTGCTCAACCAGACCCAGTACGTCAATCATCAGTTGGGAGCGGGACTGCCAAGTATCCCAGGACGCGGGATAACCGCGCCACCGGACGAGGTAACTCGTCCGACGTCCGTTCACGTCGCGGTGGTTCAACAGCTGCTCAACCAATAGCGCTGGCCACCGCGAGAGTCCTCTAATTGAGGTGGAAGAGGAGAGGGAAGACGCTCTCCACACAATCGTGGGGAAGCGTGTGTTCCCGAGAGCTTCTTTGATCGCGTAACGCAAGGGTTACGCGGCGATCTCGAATATGAGCGGGACAGGCGTCTCCAACTGGCGGACGCTGTTTCGAGGCATCGAGCTGAGTTTGCCTTTGCTCAGCTTGAGAACGAGAGAGAGCTCTGACATCTCTTCGTGACGAGCTAAGGGTAGCTCGTGGGATTGTTGATCGGTCTCGGGATGAGATAACTGCTCTTCAGACCCTTGTCGATGCCCACCATCGGGACCACAAGGCTCTCTGCGAGATGCTTGAGCGCAAGGGCGTTCTTCATCGGAAGAAGCAGCGTACTGATGGTACGGCTTAAGCCGACCAACGTAAAACGTGGGATGCGTTCGCATCTTACGTGGCAATTCGATCGTGTACGCATTGCCTAGGCGATACAATACACGAAATGGGCCAATGTACTTGGGTAGTAGTTTACTGCTACCCACTTTAGTCACTACATGCTTTGGTAGATTAACCGTAGACAGTAGGACTAAGTCACCTTTATTAAATAAAAGAGTGTTTGCCCTTCCATTCTCGTCTGCGTTTTGCTTTTGCTTATCCACCGCTTCGGCGATGGAGTCTCGCACAAAACGGACTACCGTTTCACGAGCCAGTATGAACTCATCTGATGCCTCGTTAGCTACAGTGCGCTGTAAGTGCACTGCAGCAACATCAACCTTTTCTTCAGTGAGGGCTTCCGCACTCTCACTGGCATCATCTTCTTCGATATCGATGTTATCGATATCGGCGCAATGACCTTTTCGTCAGAGCGTGATGAGCGTGAACCAAATCGGTTTTTGCTCGCGCGAGTCCCTCCCCCCTAAAACCAGAGTTACACTCTAGTAAGGTGGGTACACGCGGATGGCGCAAGCCATATACGTAAAACGGTGTATGTGTCGTGGACGCATGCACCGAGTTGTTAATGGCAAACTCTACCATGGGCAAGGACTCACTCCAACTCTTAAAGGAGTGTACGTATCCTCGAAGCATCTCTTCGAGGACACGATCGGCATGTTCCGTCTGACCATCGGACTCTGAATGATCAGATGTAGACATCTTCAAGCGCGTTCCGAGTGATTTGAACACGGGACGCCAGAAATCAGCAGTGAATCGTGGATCTCTGTCTGATACGAGTTCACGGGGCAACCCATGAAGTCGGAAGATGGTGTCAATAAAGACACAAGCACAGCCACTTGCCGTGATTCCTGGTACATCCACAAGGTGTACCATTTTGCTGAATCTGTCAACAAATACGAGAATACCCGTATTCCCGCGTGCGTCTTTGGGTAACCCGAAGACAAAATCCATTGAGATGGATTCCCAGCACTCAGCCGGAACCGGTAGAGGCTGTAAAGGTGCACGCAGTGAAGGACTTGACTTCACTCGTTGGCAGACTTCGCATGCGCGAACGTACTTGCGCACAAACTGATACTGGCGGGGCCAGTAAAAGTCTCGACTCACCGTGAGATATGTTTTCTCCCGGCCACGATGTCCTCCTATAGGAGCATCGTGATACTCGAACATGATCCGCAAACGCAGATCAGCATCATCTGGAATGACAACACGTGGTGTGTCACCAGAAACGGCTGTATAATACAGTAACCCGTTGCGAGTAGTGTATCGATCTGATGCATATCGATACGCAGGCGACAATCGTTTCAACGATTCTCGAGATGGTTGGGAGAGATGTGTCAGCAACTTCACAATCTCACCATCTCGGGCGTATGCCCGCCTCACATCATCATACAACGTTGTAGATGGGACTGTAGGACGTCATAACCGCAACAGTGACTGTCTCACTGTTGGGTTTCGTGACTGGTTCAAAGTCGGGACGACGTGAGAGTGCATCAGCGACGACATTAAGTCGTCCTGGTTTGTACTCGACCGTAAAGTTGTATTCTGCAAAGAATGACAACCACCGCGCCATTCGTTGTGAAAGGTGCGGGCTGTTCACTGCCGTGCGTAATGACGCATGGTCAGTATAAACAATGAAGGGTCAATCTCCTAATAGACAGACTCTGAACTTTGCGAGTGCATACTTCATGGCAAGGAGTTCCTTGTCATGCACTGGATAGTTCCGCTAAGCTGGTTGCAGCTGACGCGACTGGTAGCAGACGACGCGTTCAACGCCTTCAAGATCGTACTGCATTAGTGCACAGCCGATTGCGAAATCGCTGGCATCACAGACCACATGAAATGGCCTGTCCTGATCGGCTATCGCTAGGACTGGGGATTGTATCAAGCTCTGCTTGATACCATCAAAGGAGCGCTGACATTCAGCGTTCCATAACCACCTCTCGTTCTTTTCAACAAACGAGAGAGGTGCACAGTCATCTCGGCGTAATTGCGTGAATACTTGTGCAAATACGCCGCTAGCCCAAGGAATTTTCGAAGACCTTTGTCATCAACCAGCACAGGCCAGTCGGTGATCGCCTTGATCTTTTCGGGATCAGGACGTACACCGTTCTTACCAACGATGCACCCAAGAAGTGGTATTTCGCTTGCTGCAAATATACACTTCTTGAGGTTTGCATACAATTGATGCTTTCGCATGATTGTAAGAACCTGTCGGACGTGGTACCTGTGAACATCAACATCCGACTTTCCATCCATAGCTCGACTATGGATGAATACTTCATCGAAATAACTCGGCGCGAATTCTCGTACTGGTCTCAACAGATGTGATACACATCTGTTGAACGTGGCAGGGGCATTACTAAGCCCTTGTGGCATTACTAGCCATTCCCAGAGCATGCCGCTAGGCGTGCTAACTGCGGTATAGGGTATCCCGTTCTCGCATAAGGATTTGATAGAAGCCATCCATCAAATCCATGGACGAAAAGATGGTACTCTTTGACATACCATCAATGATTACGTCCTTCCTTGGTATCGGCGTCTGAGCCGGTACCGTTGCAGCATTCAACTTGTTAAATGCATGCACTATCCGCCACCCTCCTGTTGCTTTTCGCACACAGAAGGTCGGAGAGCTATGTGGGGAGGTTGATTCCCTCACATGGCCCGCAGCTAAATGATCGGCAAAGAACTTGTCGATCGCAAGTACTTGTTCACGACGCAGTGGCCACTGCTTCATGACACAGTACTTCAAGCCTGGTTTAAGCTCAAACTCGTGCCGAATACCTTTATCCTTCGGTAATTCGCATGGAACAGTTTCAGGGAATACATCCTTGAATTCAACCAAATCTTCATAGAGAGGATTTGTCTTGAGCGATTCCCACGATTGGGAGTCATATCGCTCAACTCGTGTCTTTTCATCTAGGACACTCTCGTCCATAGATGAACTACTGAGAACTCTCTCGTTCTCAGTAAACACTGTTGCTGGCCTTATGTCGGCTACACACTCGTCGTCAGCGACGAGTACGCAGATCTGCTTGACTTTGTCACTACGCAGATCACGCAAGAACCTTTTGTGTTCGAGCGTTGGCAAATGAGTGATCTCCGAAGTCAACTTCGGAGGCGCAATCAGATCAAGTGTATAAGCGCCTACACTTGATCCGTTATTGACTATGACATTCAATGTCTCTGTCATTTCCTGGGGACTTATTCCCTCAGGCCTCGAAGGACTTATTCCTTCGGCTTCCAGGGGACTTATTCCCGCGGGTTTCGGGGAACTCATTTCCGCCGTATTTGTAATATCGGGACTTATTCCCTTAACTTACTCTAGCTGGGGTTGCGCAACAACAGTGAGATCCTCTACGAAAGACTCTCCAGTCGATCTAGGATCATCGTTTCGCTTAACCTGAGCGATCGATTTTTTCTCTGCTAGATGTTCCCCGCTAAGGATACATCTTTGTCCCGGTCCACTCGACTTATTCGAGTGGTGGACCTTCGGCGCAGCCTGTGTTTTCTCACAGCCGCCGGAACTTTGCTCCGAAGCGTAACCATTTGTTGGGAGCAACCTTCATCAAGAGGCCTACAAATTCTCTTGACGTTGCTGGACCAGTGGGGTGCTCCGCACCTACTGATCCTGTCCGTTTTTTTGGCGGTCAATCCCGTTGTTGCGTCTTTGTACCAACAGCGGACCCGCGTCCCTGCCCCTTTCTCACGGTGGACGGTCACTACGCCCAGTGTTGCGAGACACTGGAAGAGGGGCACTACACTCGTAAGCGTAGTTTTCTGTCTTCTGACATCTGTTGCATCTCTGCAACTCCTTGTAGTCTGTAGAGCGAGCCTTCTCGCTCTCTACATAACAGAGTTCCATCGGCTCTGGACCTCCGTTGTCATATCGTCTCGGTTGACGATATGATGTCGAGCTGGCGCGAGCCTGTCTCAGACTGAAGTCTTCCTGTCCCGCAATAGAAATTGCTTGTTCTAGTGAATCTAGTTCAAGTCGGAACAGGTGAGTCTTGACGGGACCATCCGCAAGACCCTGCATGAACACCGAAACCAACGTGTGTTCATCCACCGGATTGGAACTTATACAACTTGTAAGATGTCGTGTATGTTGAGCGTAAGCGTGCACATCACGCTTACCCTGCTTGAGCTTCAAGAGTTCGGTTCGAGCTCTGAACTCAGCTCTAGGCGTTTCAAACGTTTGTCTGAGCCGCGACTTGAAGACTTCCAACGACCCAAACGCATATGGGTCGGGCAACTTGAGCCCCAAAGCCCAAGTCTTGGTACGTCCTGCCAGATTTGATTGGGCAAAGGCAACTTGCATTTCCCCGTCGTCGATGCGACGCGCCCTTATGGCGTCATCCAATTCGACGAACCATCTCAAGAGGGAGTCCTCTTCGACTCCCCTGTACTTGGAGATGTCAATCTTCAAGGTTTCGGGTCAACGCTAGTGCATCGACCCACCAGCAGCAGCCTGCTGCTGTCTCAACAGTTCAAACTGTTGAGCACTCTGTTCTCTCAACAACTCTGCTTGTTGAGAACCTTGTTGGTGAAGCAAGGCTACTTTCTCGCGTTCGGCGTCAAGTTCATTTTGAATGAACTTGGCGATAGTAGCATGTTGGGCATCTTTATTGAGAGCCTCTAGCATGACGCTAACAGCATGGATGCCCATGGTTGAACCCATTCGTTCAACCGCATCCCATTCGACATCGCTCAAATGGGAGTAGCCGTCACGCGTAGCGTGAAAGCTTTGGTCATCTTCATCATCCAACATATCCATGTTAGATGTGACCGTAATCCTTGGACGGACTACAAAGTGCTACCAGGTGTAACAGGGCACCTTGAAGCTTGTACTGGTGACAGTACAAGCTACTTATTCTGACGACAGAATAAGGCGGTGCCTCGGAACTTCACGTACACTCGTACGTGCAGAGGAAGACGGTAAGAAGAAGCGAGTACTTGGTTAAAGTAAAAAGTAGAACTGTATTTATCTTAGTTAATGTCTGCAATAAATCACTATTTATCCTCATCTAACTATGTCTGAATACAAATGTGCATATCAACTATCTGCTCACCACTCATTGCGTGCGTCTGTCGTGGCGCGTCTTCGTTGGTTGATATAATGGCCTATATCAACCAATTAGGAACTACTCGTAAGTGCTGCAGAATATTTGTCCTTATGACAATATTCTGAGAATATAACTCTTATAGTTATATTCTATTAACAATTTCTTATAAACTGTTATGCAACGGTTCAACCCGTTACATCATGGGTGTACTCGTAGGGCGCTTGGTATAAGTCACCTAGATCTCAAAAAGATCGCCTTATCCAATTTGAATATGATCGAAACGCTTGACCTTCTTAACACTTGAGCCGTCTCACAATCTTGCATCTTGTCCTTTACGTCGCAGCTGCACCCGATCGCAGTTAGTATGTCTCATAATTTTTGACCCCCAGACAATTATCTGGTAATATCACTTGGTTTCAGTATGTGCGACCTTTTTGATGCCAGGAGACCGAATATCCGGCCTGGAAGAGAAGTCGACACGTGTACTTAAAAGAAAATTGAACTCTGTTTAATGTTAACCAACCAAAAGCTGAGAATACGATTATGCCTGCCTGTAACGGGGTGAATCGTTACATAACAGTTTAAAGGAAATTGTTAATAGAATATAACTGTAAGAGTTATATTCTCAGAATTTTGTCATGAGGACAAATATTCTGTAGCACTTACGAGTAGTTCCTAATTGGTTGATATAGACCATTATACCAACCAACGAAGACGCGCCACGACAGACGCATGCAATGAGTGGTGAGCAGATAGTTGATATGCACATTTGTATTCAGACATAGTTAGATGAAGATAAACAGTGATTTATTGCAGACATTAACTAAGATAAATACAGTTCTACTTTTTACTTTAACCAGGTACTCGCTTCTTCTTACCGTCTTCCTCTGTACGTACGAGTGTACGTGAAGTTCCGAGGCACCGCCTTATTCTGTCGTCAGAATAAGTAGCTTGCACTGTCATCAGTACAAGCTTCAAGGTGCCCTGTTACACCTGGTAGCACTTTGCAGTCCGTCCAAGGATTACGGTCACATCTAACATGGATATGTTGGATGATGAAGATGACCAAAGCTTTCACGCTACGCGTGACGGCTACTCCCATTTGAGCGATGTCGAATGGGATGCGGTTGAACGAATGGGTTTAACCATGGGCATCCATGCTGTTAGCGTCATGCTAGAGGCTCTCAATAGAGATGCCCAACATGCTACTATCGCCAAGTTCATTCAAAATGAACTTGACGCTGAACGCGAGAAAGTAGCCTTGCTTCACCAACAAGGTTCTCAACAAGCAGAGTTGTTGAGAGAACAGAGTGCTCAACAGTTTGAACTGTTGAGACAGCAGCAGGCTGCTGCTGGTGGGTCGATGCACTCGCGTCGACCCGAGACCTTGAAGATTGACATCTCCAAGTACAGAGGAGTCGAAGAGGACTCCCTCTTGAGATGGTTCGTCGAATTGGATGACGCCATAAGGGCGCGTCGCATCGACGACGGGGAAATGCAAGTTGCATTTGCCCAGTCAAATCTGGCAGGACGTGCCAAGACTTGGGCTTTGGGGCTCAAGTTGCCCGACCCATATGCGTTTGGGTCGTTGGAAGTCTTCAAGTCGCGGCTCAGACAAACGTTTGAAACGCCTAGAGCTGAGTTCAGAGCTCGAACCGAACTCTTGAAGCTCAAGCAGGGTAAGCGTGATGTGCACGCTTACGCTCAACATACACGACATCTTACAAGTTGTATAAGTTCCAATCCGGTGGATGAACACACGTTGGTTTCGGTGTTCATGCAGGGTCTTGCAGATGGTCCCGTCAAGACTCACCTGTTCCGACTTGAACTAGATTCACTAGAACAAGCAATTTCTATTGCGGGACAGGAAGACTTCAGTCTGAGACAGGCTCGCGCCAGCTCGACATCATATCGTCAACCGAGACGATATGACAGACGGAGGTCCAGAGCCGATGGAACTCTGTTATGTAGAGAGCGAGAAGGCTCGCTCTACAGACTACAAGAGAGTTGCAGAGATGCAACAGATGTCAAAAGACAGGACACTACGCTTACGGGTGTAGTGCCCCTCGTCCAGTGTCTCGCAACACTGGGCGTAGCGACCTTTCCACCCATGAGAAAGGGGGCAGGGGACGCGGGTCCGCTGTTGGTGCAAAAACGCAACAACGGGATTGACCCCCCAAAAACGGACAGGATCAGTGGCGGAGCACCCCACTGGTCCAGCAACGTCAAGAGAATTTGTAGGCCTCTTGATGAAGGTTGCTCCCAACAAATGGTTACGCTTCGGGCAAAGTTCCGGCGGCTGTGAGAAAACACGGGCTGCGCCGAAGGTCCACCACTCGAATAAGTCGAGTGGACCGGGACAAAGATGTATCCTTAGCGGGGAACATCTAGAAGAGAAACAATCAAACGCTCAGGTTAAGCGAAACGATAATCCTAGATCGACTGGAGAGTCTTTCGTAGAGGATCTCACTGTGGTTGCGCAACCCCAGCTAGAGGAAGTAAAGGGAATAAGTCCCGATATTACAAATACGGCGGAAATGAGTTCCCCGAAACCCGCGGGAATAAGTCTCCGGGAAGCCGAAGGAATAAGTCCTTCGAGGCCTGAGGGAATAAGTCCCCAGGAAATGACAGAGACATTGAATGTCATAGTCAATAACGGATCAAGTGTAGGCGCTTATACACTTGATTTGATTGCGCCTCCGAAGTTGACTTCGGAGATCACTCAGTTGTCAACTCTCGAACACAAAGGTTCTTGCGTGATCTGCGTAGTGGCAAAGTCAAGCAGATCTGCGTACTCGTCGCTGACGACGAGTGTGTAGCCGACGTAAGGTCAGCAACAGTGTTCACTGATAACGAGAGAGTTCTCAGTAGTTCATCTATGGACGAGAGTGTCCTAGATGAAAAGACACGAATTGAGCGATATGACTCCCAATCGTGGGAATCGCTCAAGACAAATCCTCTCTATGAAGATTTGGTTGAATTCAAGGATGTATTCCCTGAAACTGTTCCGTGCGAATTACCGAAGGATAAAGGTATTCGACACGAGTTTGAGCTTAAACCAGGCTCGAAGTACTGTGTCATGAAGCAGTGGCCACTGCCTCGTGAACAAGTACTTGCGATCGACAAGTTCTTTGCCGATCATTTAGCTGCGGGCCATGTGAGGGAATCAACCTCCCCCCATAGCTCTCCGACCTTCTGTGTGCGAAACGCAGGAGGGGTGGCGGATAGTGCATGCATTTAACAAGTTGAATGCTGCAACGGTACCGCCTCAGCGCCGATACCAAGGAAGGACGTAATCATTGATGGTATGTCAAAGAGTACCATCTTTTTCGTCCATGGATTTGATGGATGGCTTCTATCAAATCCTTATGCGAGAACGGGATACCCTATACCGCAGTTAGCACGCCTAGCGGCATGCTCTGGGAATGGCTAGAATGTCACAAGGGCTTAGTAATGCCCCTGACACGTTCAACAGATGTGTATCACATCTGTTGAGACCAGTACGAGAATTCGCGCCGAGTTATTTCGATGACGTATTCATCCATAGTCGAGCTATGGATGGAAAGTCGGATGTTGATGTTCACAGGTACCACGTCCGACAGGTTCTTACAATCATGCGAAAGCATCAATTGTATGCAAACCTCAAGAAGTGTATATTTGCAGCAAGCGAAATACCACTTCTTGGGTGCATCGTTGGTAAGAACGGTGTACGTCCTGATCCCGAAAGATCAAGGCGATCACCGACTGGCCTGTGCCGGTTGATGTCAAAGGTCTTCGAAAATTCCTTGGGCTAGCGGCGTATTTGCACAAGTATTCACGCAATTACGCCGAGATGACTGTGCACCTCTCTCGTTTGTTGAAAAAGAACGAGAGGTGGTTATGGGAACGCTGAATGTCAGCGCTCCTTTTGATGGTATCAAGCAGAGCTTGATACAATCCCCAGTCCTAGCAATAGCCGATCAGGACAGGTCATTTCATGTGGTCTGTGATACCAGCGATTTCGCAATCGGCTGTGCATTAATGCAGTACGATCTTGAAGGCGTTGAACGCGTCGTTCTACCAGTCGTCGTCAGCTGCAACCAGCTTAGCGGAACTATCCAGTGCATGACAAGGAACTCCTTGCCATGAAGTATGCACTCGCAAAGTTCAGAGTCTGTCTATTAGGAGATTGACCCTTCATTGTTTATACTGACCACGCGTCATTACGCACGGCAGTGAACAGCTCGCACCTTTCACAACGAATGGCGCGGTGGTTGCCATTCTTTGCAGAATACAACTTTACGGTCGAGTACAAACCAGGACGACTTAATGTCGTCGCTAATGCACTCTCACGTCGTCCCGACTTTGAACCAGTCACGAAACCCAACAGTGAGACAGTCTCTGTTGCGGTTATGACGTCCTACAGTCCCATCTACAACGTTGTATGATGATGTGAGGCGGGCATACGCCCAAGATGGTGAGATTGTGAAGTTGCTGACACATCTCTCCCAACCATCTCGAGAATCGTTGAAACGATTGTCGCCTGCGTATCGATATGCATCAGATCGATACACTACTCGCAACGGGTTACTGTATTATACAGCCGTTTCTGGTGACACACCACGTGTTGTCATTCCAGATGATGCTGATCTGCGTTTGCGGATCATGTTCGAGTATCACGATGCTCTTATAGGAGGACATCGTGGCCGGGAGAAAACATATCTCACGGTGAGTCGAGACTTTTACTGGCCCCGCCAGTATCAGTTTGTGCGCAAGTACGTTCGCGCATGCGAAGTCTGCCAACGAGTGAAGTCAAGTCCTTCACTGCGTGCACCTTTACAGCCTCTACCGGTTCCGGCTGAGTGCTGGGAATCCATCTCAATGGATTTTGTCTTCGGGTTACCCAAAGACGCACGCGGGAATACGGGTATTCTCGTATTTGTTGACAGATTCAGCAAAATGGTACACCTTGTGGCTGTACCAGATTCAATCACAGGAAGGGGCTGTGCTTGCGTCTTTATCGACACCATCTTCCGACTTCATGGGCTGCCCCGTGAACTCGTATCAGACAGAGATCCACGATTCACTGCTGATTTCTGGCGTCCCGTGTTCAAATCACTCGGAACGCGCTTGAAGATGTCTACATCTGATCATTCAGAGTCCGATGGTCAGACGGAACATGCCGATCGTGTCCTCGAAGAGATGCTTCGAGGATACGTACACTCCTTTAAGAGTTGGAGTGAGTCCTTGCCCATGGTAGAGTTTGCCATTAACAACTCGGTGCATGCGTCCACGACACATACACCGTTTTACGTATATGGCTTGCGCCATCCGCGTGTACCCACCTTACTAGAGTGTAACTCTGGTTTTAGGGGGGAGGGAATCGCGCGAGCAAAAACCGATTTGGTTCACGCTCATCACGCTCTGACGAAAAGGTCATTGCGCCGATATCGATAACATCGATATCGAAGAAGATGATGCCAGTGAGAGTGCGGAAACCCTCACTGAAGAAAAGGTTGATGTTGCTGCAGTGCACTCACAGCGCACTGTAGCTAACGAGGCATCAGATGAGTTCATACTGGCTCGTGAAACGGTAGTCCGTTTTGTGCGAGACTCCATCGCCGAAGCGGTGGATAAGCAAAAGCAAAACGCAGACGAGAATGGAAGGGCAAACACTCTTTTATTTAATAAAGGTGACTTAGTCCTACTGTCTACGGTTAATCTACCAAAGCATGTAGTGACTAAAGTGGGTAGCAGTAAACTACTACCCAAGTACATTGGCCCATTTCGTGTATTGCATCGCCTAGGCAATGCGTACACGATCGAATTGCCACGTAAGATGCGAACGCATCCCACGTTTTACGTTGGTCGGCTTAAGCCGTACCATCAGTACGCTGCTTCTTCCGATGAAGAACGCCCTTGCGCTCAAGCATCTCGCAGAGAGCCTTGTGGTCCCGATGGTGGGCATCGACAAGGGTCTGAAGAGCAGTTATCTCATCCCGAGACCGATCACATCACTTCCACGAGCTACCCTTAGCTCGTCACGAAAGATGTCAGAGCTCTCTCGTTCTCAAGCTGAGCAAAGGCAAACTCAGCTCGATGCCTCGAAACAGCGTCCGCCAGTTGGAGACGCCTGTCCCGCTCATATTCGAGATCGCCGCGTAACCCTTGCGTTACGCGATCAAAGAACTCTCGGGAACACACGCTTCCCCACGATTGTGTGGAGAGCGTCTTCCCTCCTCTTCCACCTCAATTAGAGGACTCTCGCGGTGGCCAGCGCTATTGGTTGAGCAGCTGTTGAACCACCGCGACGTGAACCGACGTCGGACGAGTTACCTCGTCCGGTGGCGCGGTTATCCCGCGTCCTGGGATACTTGGCAGTCCCGCTCCCAACTGATGATTGACGTACTGGGTCTGGTTGAGCAGTACGACACGGCACATCCTGTGTCGCAGAAGGACCGCCGGAGAGGGTCTTCCCGGCACGGTCGTAAAGGGATTTCAAGTTGTCGAATCTCCCTTCGTACATCTCACTGGAGATACGTACGCGCCACCACGGGCTAGTAAGGAGGT